ATAATCAATATAAAAACAAAAATTCAAGTAACATAAAACTATATTAAATGGTGGCAAATACATTTATTTAATCAAGAAGTTAAAGAGAGACGTTGGAGAGTATGAATACAGGGAATCAAATATTATTACTTTAAGGCATGTACTATGTAAATAAATATTATTTATCTATGAATAATTTCATCATGCTGCTTCATGAATCATGGCACTGAATATCCAATCAGTTTTGGTCGGTGGGAAATTAATTTAGGGCTCTTATCTTGTATTGTATCCATATTCTGTAAGAGTAATTACGATAGATTAATAGGGACCAACCAAAGCTGCTTCGTTGAGCTGTCTAAAATCTAAAATGTCTTTGGATTTTGTTGACATGGTGATCGAGGTAGGTGTATCTATTAGTAATACATGGTGGAGAACAAAGACACGACTTTAGTTTTCTTCCTTGGGCCATGATTAAGGGATTTTTAGAGCAAGAGAGGCTAGATTCCTGGAGTTTGTCCATCATTTTCATCTTACTACTATGAATATTATCTCTTTTAAAAACTGTCTCAATATACATGCTTTACTGTTTGATTTGGTTGATATTATTTTATCGATTCTCTTTCATTCTATACAATCTTCTTAGATAATCCCAATTTTGACTATATATATATATATATATATATATATATATATATATATATATATATATATATATATATATAAGATCCTATTACACAATGTAAAACTTTTTTAGTTTTACAATTTATGAACGTTGGATAAGTGAAAATAGATGATTACGATTAACAGTAGGAAATGAGAAGATATTCACTGGAAAAATAAACAAGGAGTCAATATCAACCATCTATTTTCACTCATCCAACGGTCTTAAATCTGTATAAAAATAAAGAGTAACAAGATCATATCCCATATATATATATTAGTTTTTTATTAATCTAAAATAAATACAATATAATATTTATTTAAAAATAACTAACGTTCACCCCTCTAAAATTATTAATCTATTTTGCATGTATCGCTTTCTTATTATTTCCTCTAGTCAAAAGGGTGTTCAGTATGTTTACTGCCAATTATAAAGTTGGCAAAGCATGTGTATGTTTCATCAAGTTACGAGGTCAAGGCATTCAACATCATATCATATAAATCTCTAAACAACATACGATCAATAAATATAAAAAACCCTATTTTCAAGAGTTCCAAGGTCAGTTAATGATGCACGAACGCTTGTGATACGATATATATGCTAGCTAGCTGCTGCTCCTGCCCCGCGGTTTGCCTGGTTGGCAAAGGGATGGATAATAAAAAATATATATAATGTATACTGCAGGAGGAGGCGAGGGTGGAGGGGGATAACGGCGGAGAAAGCACATGCAGAAGAGGTCTAGAAAATTCTTTCATGAAAAGGGCAACTCTTGCCTCATGTGTGGGGGATTATTTGTTAAAAGTACTTTTTTTTTAAAATTAATATATTAATCCATTTATATGGGGAAAGGAAATGGTCCACTGTCAATAGTTTATTATAGGCAAATGGGAGATTTTTTTTTAAATAAGAATAAAGACCATTACAATAGAATATTAATTGCGAACAAAAGCAGGACCATGAAGATCACGAGTAAGATGAGATATGATCTTCAGAGGGCCTTCCAAATATACGTATGATTGAGATTGACCATCAATATTGATAGTAGATTTGACAAGGAAATCAACTGCATCATTGACTTCACGACCAAGGAGAAGAAAGTCAAGCATCTATGGTTTTGAAACAAGGCTTGCAATAGAATGAACAAGTGATATGGGGTTGGAATTAGCCGTTGGAGAAGACACTAGTTTAAAAGCTTCTGCACAGTCCGTTTGGCATTGAAGACGCTCAATTCCATGGGACCACGTTAGTTGAAGTCCTTAAAAAATGCCCCAGAGTTCAGCTTGCAAGGGAGACGAAATCCCGACCGATTTATTAAATCCAACAATCTAATCTCCATCATTATTTCGAATGAGATCACCTGCCGAACCAAGATAATAAATATTATGAACCACACCGTCAGTGTTGAGGGTGCACCAACCAGCAGGCCCAGGTCGCCATTGGACTAGCTCAGGACATGAAAAGATAACATCGATCGAAAGAGAAGGCGTTGCTGTGATGAAATATTGGGACCAATTCTTACTTTGACAGCATCAATTTAAATATGTGTTTAGTACGTATACGCGTTTAAGTTATAAAATTAGAGATATTCTTTTTCAAGTTCGAATTTTACATTTTAAAACGCTGGAAATGTTATTTTTGAAGGCAAAGGTAATGACATATTAAAAAACGTTTAATATATTTTCTCATATTTTTAGGGAAATGGCTTAGTGATGGCGGTGGATCATGTTTGATATATTTTACAACTATAGCAACATATTAAAAAATATTTAACCAAAAAAGAAAAAGTCAAAGAACATGTATCGCGTAGTACCGTATGTACATTATGATTTTGCACGCATCAACCAACTGGAAATCCCCGATGTGAAGACAATGACAAGCATGTTTCGAAGACCACTGCATGCTTTTACGGGGGGTTCACAAAACGTGTTCGTACAAACACGCTAAGAATCTGTTATTAAATAAATTAACGAAAACAATTTTAACCTACCGTTGTATGTATTTAATTAATTATGTAAAAATAAAATTACCATCAAATTAGATCATTCGATCTCATCTTTCTTAAAAATATAATATTTTACTAATTTAAACTTTACTTATTTGCATGCCACAAGCGATTGTTCCTCTCTACACGTGATCTCTATTCGTAAGAATAAAGTACATTTTATGATTAATCTTTCATTTTTTTTGAAAAATATTCTTGTCAATATTTTATTAATTCAAAATTTAAATTTCTATTCATCATATGTGATTATAGTATAATATTTGTTTAGAATTTTTTTAATTAATTGACAATATAGACACGGATGCAACTGTTGGAACTCGGGACATCAAAACCTTTAAATAGAACAACATTCCCATTCATCACATAATAATTTCAATATTAACAGGAAAACCACGTTAATAATGAAAGTTGAAACTTGTATAGACTTATACACTCATATTGTATTAAAATATAAAACAATAAATATAAAATATGGAGCCATCGATAGTTAAATCTATCTATATTGACATGCGTCATGTTTTTATTCGATTAGTATCTTCCAAGAAGATTCATGTCCGCTTATAGAGATGCAAAAATATACATACAAACCCTTTTTTAATCTATAAAATTCACAGAGCTTGCCTCATGGAGATAACAAACACAGAGTCTGTTACTTCTGTATAATATTCATAGTCTGAGAAAGTTATTCCACACATTTTAACAGCGTGTCCGCCGTAGCAATTGAAGCCACCAGAGTCGCAAAACAGTCGTAATCAACCACTACTCCATCTTAAGTTCTCTATATTTGGATTGCTATAAATATGCAATCTAAATGCGAATCTCATTCTGTTGAATTCATGCACTTGATCTCAACCCATGATCATACACGAACTGAAAGCATATTCTTCGTGTTTGGTTTTCGTTATTAATTTGTTGTTTATTAAAAACATGATCTTGGCAAAAATCTTAATTCTTACATGCTGGAATATACCTGCATGTTTATTACAAAACAAAGCACACATGTGATTAAATGAATCTAATTAGCCATTACGAAGTTGATTAACTTGCAACGGAAAATGTTAAGTAAATAATTGCATTGACTAATGACCAATCAGTCTATCATTAACTGAGTGATTAAATCATAAAATGCTAGATTAGGTCAATGATGAAAATCTTCAAAAGTCGAAGAATGAATAGATTATGTTTTTGAATACATCAGTTGAGGAGGGGACCATCTTTCAGATCTTTTCAAAGCTTATATTTTGTCCCAACTTTCTTTGCAAATCAGAATCTTAATCTTGTGTAAATTGGAATCTTTGTCAGGTTATCAGAATATAACTACTCTTAGATACCTCTCAACATAATTATGTCGTGATAAATATGCGCATTCTTCATGATAATGTAGATACTGTTTTAATTAACGTACTTTTCATTTATATTATTCATTTTTTAGAAACACAGGGATTTGATTGGTCATATGGGGGAAGTGGAGACTTGCTAATGGAAACTCAAATCCCAATGATTTAAAGTGTAAAATACACACCAAGTCACTCAATTTTGAGTTTAATTAAAAACAATATACTTTTTCCTCCAAAAGTCATATTTTAGTTACTCAATTAAAATATTATATTACTTTTTTGGTTAATAACAGTTTAAGAGTAGGTCCAATTGTGTTGTACTCTTTTCCTCTATTTAGGATCAAGGAGGTTTTTAACGAGACTCACAATTTGAGATTTAATGTTGTTATTTTTAAATGAATAAAATCAAATTTACCAAGCAAAAAAAATAACAGTTTAAGAGTAACTTGTTGATGCTTTATGATAGAATATAGTTACCCAACTATCTTTGATCTGATGGACTTATTTAATTTGACAATATGGCAAAAAAGGATTAAATTGACAAAAAATTAAATAAGAAAGGTTAATTTTGTTGAATTATTTTAAATTAGAACCACATCGATAGGATATATAAGTTTTAGAGACTAAAATGTATATCATATCAGGCTACATTAGATGTATGTTTCAATTTTAATAGCCAATGACATGCTTGTAATAATATTTTAATTGAGTGACTATATTATAACTTTTAGATGAAAAAATGGTTCGTTTATAATCTAACTAATATTTAAGTGGCTTGGAGTAGATTTTACCCTAATTTGAATCAAGAGAGTAATTAATTAGTAAAAAACTTCAATCATTTGGGAATTAAAAGCTAAAATGGGCACCTACCTTCCTACATCAACCACCATATTTGGTATGGATCTCATTGAGATAGAGATGAGGAAAGATTTGACAAGTTGACAGAAGCTGAACAGTTGTCACTTGAGTTAAATAAAACTATCTGCAAAAGGTGACCTTTAATTTTGCCTTACACTATACTAATACAATCAATCATTGATAAAGACCTTTTTTTTTTGTATATTCCGAAAGAAACCAGGCAAGTTGTTATTGGATCCCATATATAAATGCAAGTCATTGACAATGGTTTTCATCCATCAGTCTCCAATAATCTCTCTTCTATCCCTTGTTTCTTTAGTACAGCAAAAAAGGGGTTAGAAAATGGCTATTGAGATTGAGAAACCCAGTGTTGGACTATCCAAGGTTGCAGTTTCTGATACTCATGGAGAAGACTCTCCATATTTTGCCGGCTGGAAAGCTTATGATGAAAACCCTTACAATGAATCAAGCAACCCATCGGGAGTTATACAGATGGGACTGGCTGAAAATCAAGTAAGTGTAATGTCCCAGCAGGGCAAAACAAGTTGAAGCAATATGTACAATTTGCATGTAACAGTGTTCTTATTATATTACTTGTTCTTCGTGCAGGTTTCATTTGATTTGTTGGAGAAATACTTGGAAGAGCATTCCGAAGCATCAAGCTGGGGCAAAGGAGCCCCTGGTTTCAGAGAAAATGCTTTGTTCCAAGACTACCATGGATTGAAATCTTTCCGACAGGCTATGGCGAATTTCATGGGGCAAATTAGAGGAGGAAGAGCCAAATTTGACCCTGATAGAATCGTTCTAACTGCTGGTGCAACCGCAGCTAATGAGCTTTTAACATTCATTTTAGCAGATCCTGGCGATGCTTTGCTGGTTCCAACTCCATACTATCCAGGGTAAGAATAAGTTCAGATTATAAATTCCAAGCTCCAAGCTCCATTAATTTGTAAATTAACGGTGCTAATTTGGAACACTTTTTGTTTTTTCGTTCAGATTCGATAGAGATCTGAGGTGGAGAACCGGTGTGAAAATAGTTCCGATCCATTGCGATAGCTCAAACAATTTCCAAGTTACACCAGAAGCCATGGAAACTGCATATCAATGTGCAGAATCCATGAACTTGAAAGTTCGAGGAATACTGATAACAAACCCTTCGAACCCTTTAGGTGCAACTATCCAAAGATCCGTCCTTGAACAGATTCTCGATTTCGCCGTAAACAAAAACATACACCTTGTCTCGGACGAAATCTACTCTGGGTCGACATTCTCATCATCCGAGTTCATCAGCATTGCTGAAATCCTCGAAAATCGTTCATATAGAGATTCCGAGAGAGTCCACATCGTCTACAGTCTTTCGAAAGATCTCGGCCTTCCCGGTTTTCGAGTCGGAACAATATATTCTTACAACGACAAGGTTGTCTGCACCGCCAGGAGGATGTCGAGCTTCACTTTGATTTCGTCTCAAACACAGCATCTCTTGGCTTGCATGTTGTCCAACAAGGAGTTCAGCGAGAACTACATAAAGACGAATCGAGAGAGGTTAACCAAGAGATACGATATGATCATCAAAGGGTTGAAAAATGCCGGGATCGAGTGCTTAAAAGGCAATGCTGGGTTGTTTTGCTGGATGAATCTGAGTCCATTGTTGGAAGAACCAACCAGAGAAAGCGAGTTGGAGCTTTGGAAGACCATCTTGAACGAAGTGAGACTAAACATATCGCCTGGATCTTCGTGCCATTGCTCTGGACCTGGGTGGTTCAGGGTCTGTTTTGCAAACATAAGCGAGCAGACACTTGAAATTGCACTTGAAAGAATACATAAATTCATGGAACAAAGAAGAAGAAACTAAATTTGGTGAAAATATATGTTCATTATTATCCATAATGACCAGTTTTGGTGGGGTTTTTTTTTTCTTCAACTTTTAATACCCATTTTGATTCTTTGGACGACATAATGCCCTTGGTTTTGGTCCATTAAAATGTAAAGCATATTAAAATCGATTTTGATTCATATTCTAGTTTAGGTGGAAGTGTCCTACTTGTTTTCTTGCTTATGGTGAAGCAAGTTCCCTTGAAATGCTTCCATTTGTTCAATATGGAAGTACTTTGTGATATTTGTATTATCTTTCTCACCTAAACTTTGTTATGAATTAGTTAAATACTATTTGCCTTTTTTTATTACTACTTTTTATATTACATTTGATTTTTTTAATATTATCAGTATTTTAACTATTGATCTATTAATTCGGATTAATTTTAAAAAAAATACATTATAAGAATAATTTTTTAATCTATTTGTTTATATTTACAATATAAAAAATTCATAATTTTCATTTTAAAAGTTCAGTATATATTAAATCAATTTATAATCATATATTATTTAATTAAAAAGAATTGCGTTTGACGTTGCTTTTCTGAATCCAAATATAATTTAGACACAATCAAGCTTTTCTATCTAAAAACTGAAAGTTTACTCAACAAATTGGATACCAAGTACCAACCAACGGAATCATATGATTATATGCCAACAGTCCCACGACTTTTTTTTTTTGGTAGTAAATTTAGTTTGTAAAAAATTCGATTCTAACGATTCTAAATATTCAAGCAAAAATGTTATATTAAATAGGCTGAATTAATCATAATCGAACAATTTAATTCTAATTAAATCAAATTTAAAGTTATTACGATGAGGTTAATATGCAAGCAATAAAAAATATTTACATTAATTAAAATTATAAAGAATTTTTGGACTTAAAAAATTAGATTGAATAGCATTTTGAAGAAAGAAACTATGAATTTAAAATCAAATCTAATCGAGCAAAAATAAAATAAAGAAATCGAAAGGTCAAATACTTTCCTTGTAGTTCACACTATTCAATGAAAAATGGAATATAATATAATTTTTCTATACGATGTTTTCAAAACTAATTAATATATACTACTTTATTAATTAAATTAATTAATCCATCAAATTAACTAAAGTGTTGATTCAACGAGAAATCTATTTCACATTAATTCTATCAAGTAAAAACCATAAGTATATAATAACGCCATAATTGAATTTTGAAAAAGGGATAAACCATGCATGTTGCCTCGCGTGTGGAAATTTGTTGGTGAGAACTTGAACAATTTCCTATCTCAAAAGTCAACCAATCACCTACGGCTGATTGTATCGTGGCGGTTGAGATCAAGCCGCGCGGATCGCAAGTCAATCTTGGGCACAAGATTAAAATGTCATAGAAGCGCCAACATCCAATTTGAAACATTCTTTTTCTTAATTCTATCAATCTAAATTTTTTTTTACTTCACGGATTGTTTTTTTAAATTGTATCAGTTTAATTTTTTAATTTCTTAAATTATATTAATAGTATTCTTTGACATGATAATTAATTGCACTGACATAATAATTTATGTATTGAAATTATGCATGGAGTTCACTGTCATGATTTCAATTTAATGATTCAGTCTCTCATTCGTTGTCATTCCACTTTAAAGTGAATTCTTTTTCCTCCGACAGGGTTTAAGAAGATTTTTTAACGAAATCCTTTGGGTGGTTACTTTATAATTTTTTCAATACAAAGTACCATTTTACAAAAAAAATTTATATATATATATATGACATGTCAAGATAGTGACATTATAACCCACACATGATCAATGAAGTGATAGACATCGATAGATGTTCAGCTTAATTATGGTGTGTAAATGTCAATCATAAAATTTAATTTTTCTTCGATTGGTTATTTATTTTATTGATTATATACATCTCATGCAAAAAATATGTGTTATTAACATATATGTACTTACTCTCAAAAATATTTTTAGATTCGACAATGATAATAAAAAAAACTTAATCAGGTGAATTTAAAGACATAATGAATCTTTTAATAAAAAAATTGAAAGTTTGTTTAATCTTTAAATAAAAATTTAAAAATATAAAAAACATATATTGAAACTATCAAAAAGTAAAAATTATTGAAATTAAGCATATATTAAAAATAATTTAAAAATATAAAATTTTAAATTATTAAAATTTTAAAATATGTATAATGTATTAATTTTTTTTTATAAATGTATTAAAAAAAATTAAACATATGTATTACGGTCCCTATAAATTTTCAATGAAAATATGTTCATAAAATAGGATTAAAATTTTATAAGTGTAGTGATTGAATGATTGTTTAAGTATGTTGAACTATATTTTGATATAATAATTTATGATAAAATGTTTTTGGACTTGAATTGAATTCATTCAAAGTTTTCAAAATTTTCAAAAATAATTTTTTCATATATTTTTCTGGACTTGAATTGAATTGAATTAAATTCATTTAACTTGAAATTGAGCACAAAATATTTTTCTGGACAAGCAGTACCGTTACTGTTCTTATAGTATCGATATCTCATGAACAGTACCGATATTGTTCATATGGTATCGATACCAAAGGTAAGGAAAATATCGATATTCACTAGATAGTATCGATACTACCATCTTTTCTCAAATTCCATAATACAAAAAATGGTATCGATACCCAAAGGGGTATCAATACTACTTTACATAGTAGTATCGATACCATAGGCTTAATATCGATACTGTCAGGCCCAACGACTAGTTAACGGCTAGTTTCATTTCAAAATATAAAGGAAGTACCGATACTCCCCATAGGAGTATTGATACCTTCTGTTCTGGGTAGTTTTGTTTTGTAGAGAAAAACATCTACAACGGCTCTAAAAGACTCTCAACGGTTAGAAACGACCACAACCTCATTCCAACATATAAATACAAGTTCAAGACGCTTGAAGAAGGGTTAGAACATCTATCCAAGCAATCAAACACAAGAGAAGAGTTTTTCATTCCTATTTTACTTTCTCTTGTAAATATTTTGTTATTATGAGATTTAAATTATTTTAAATACCTTATCTTTTAGAGGTTTTATTTGTTTACATCTTTTTCCTTGTAAATGAGTTTTGGTTCTAGCAAAGCCTGTTAAAAGTTAGAGAGTTGTGTAAATGTTATCTCTTTGTCATTGAAAAAGAAAGAACAAATTAGTGAATTTGTTATAAAATCTTTAGTGAGAAGCTAATGTAGTGGAGGTAGACTTAGTTGAGAAGTAGAACCACTATAAATCGTTGTGCCAATTTTTCTATCTTTTATTCTCCTTACTCCCTAAACAAGGTTTTGTCAATTTATCCCCTTATGCAATTTTCCATTGATTAAATTGAGTTTCGAAAATTCTAACAAAGTATAATTTAGTGACTTTTAATGTATTTTATTTTATTTATGTTTTAAAATTTTGATGATCAAATAATCATTAAAATATAATTTAATGATATCTGATTTATTTATAATATTTAATTTTATATTTATATAATTTATCTTTTATCGATGACAATAATATTTATCATATCTTTTAATTTTAAAAATCTTAATTAAAATTTTAACTTATGTTTAATAAATAATATATATATATATATATATATATATATATATATATATATATATATATAGTTTTAGTACTCAATCAATTTAGTAATATTAACTCTGTGATGGGTTTTATGATAATAGAAATGGAGGTGTAAATGCTTATGATAAAAGAAATAATTTCATGGAAATTGTAAAATGGACGTTGTAAGCCTTTTTTTTTAACAAGTATTGTTCATATATTATTCAAGAAGTCGAGTTGTAACCATTATCATCTATCTTTTTCTCTAACTTAAGTTTTCTTTTAATATTTTTGTCTCCTCTTCTTGTTTATTTTTTATTTTTGTTTAACCATTGGCGACATCAATCTTAATATTAATTGTTAACCACCGATAATTATTATTTTTCTTGTTCTTCTTTCATACTATATTATTTGTTTTTTTAGTTTTTTTTTTTAATTTTTAAATAAAAATCTGTCTTATTGACATTTTTTTTGCTATTGTATCACTTTTTCCTCTACTCAAGTGATATGTTCCTTATAACTTTTAGTACGTTTTTTGTATACTTATGTGGTCGTGTTAGTGCTCGCACAAAGATCCTTACTACATTTATTTTCTAATCGGTTTGTCTATTGTCATACATTGTCATATCTCCTCTTTAATAAAATATTGTTTGTCGATATAATCAAAATTGTGTAGTGAAGTAGCATGTCAAATTGTTTGTTTCACTCACCACTCCTTTATCATTTCATAAAGAATCTCGCTCGACAAAGACAGTTTTATAAATATTATTGGATTCTTTTGATATTTGCCGATATAATATTTTTAATTTTATGTATGAGTTTTTCGGTGATTATTTTCTCATTTTTCTTTATATATTTGAGTGTATTGTAATTTTGATTCATTTTATTATTTTTTTTGAATGAAATTCAGTTGTCAAAAAGTTACAATTTTTATGAGGAAATCTCAATGAATCTCCCACTCAGCACACAACTGCTAATTCATCCTATCAATTTTATCTATACAACAACTATGCAAACTTGTACTAACAATCTCCTCTATACATTTAACAATATCATCGACTGAATGAGTATTCTCCCTAAACTGTCTGCAGTTTTGTTCTTCTCAAATGCAATATAAAAATCAATCCAAGCAAGTTTAAGGATACAAACAATCACAAATTTTCCCCTCAAACCGTCCACTGCAAGGTTTCATCCCACACAACGACCTTTACTGCAAGCCTGCAGAACCTTATCCAAATTCTACAAGAATAAGTGGTTTATAGTCTTCATGACAACATCTCATAAACTACACATTCGAGCCATAATAATTCTCATTCAAACAAGTCTATCATTAGTTGGCAAACTATCCAAAATGACTATCCAAACAATTTTGAAATGTTTAGGAACACGTAAAGGAAACCAAACGAGTCTTTGCCATTCCACTTTAATCTTCTTTTTTCCAATTTTTTTCTCAGGTTCAACTACTACTAAATAAAGGCTATACAAACTCCAAATAAATTCCCTACTTCAGCTATGAACTTCAACAACTTCGTAGGGGGTGTTTATTGGACTAATTCAATCACAGATCAAACCGAATAATCATTAATTGATTTTTTAACTATTAACCGAACTAATTTTTTTAAAATATTTTAACCGATTCAAATTAAGTTCGGTTAATTTCGTTGGTTAACCTGATTAATCGAAATTTATAAATAATATATAAGTAATATATATAATATATTTAAAATTTAATATTTTCGGTTAATTCGATTAAAACCAAAGTTTAAACACCCCTAAAACTAAATATATATAATATATTAAATATTTAATAATTTTGATTAGTTAATTAATTTTGAACCAAATTAACCGTTAACTAAAATTTTAAAAAACCATTAACCGTTAATCAATCGAATTCAAAATTAAGCAACTAATTAATTAAAATATAAAAAATCATTAACCGTTAATCAATCGAATCTAAAATTAATCAACCGATTAATCAAAATAAATTTCAATTCAATCGAATAATTTCGCTTTAACCAAATTATAAACACCCTGCAACTTCCTAAGGTTCAACAACATGCCAATAATCCTCATAAAAATCAACCAAATGAGGCTGACGTTGTAAGCCTTGAAAAGTAATAAATGCTTTGAAATTATAAATGACCCTTTTAATTTACATAAAATAAAATCAAACCGCATATAAACCCCGAAAGGGTATCCTCTGATCGTGCAAATCGCTTTATCGGTCTCTCGAGATAAGCGGTGGGAGAAGCCAAGATCAGTCTCCTCACGTCTTTGACGTCAACCGATATCTTTTACTGTGCTATAATCAAAGATAAAATTCACTTCTTTTGTGTAGATCTACAGTGTATTTGATTTCTAAATCTTTCGCAATTCTCTTTATATACTCAGATCTATTCATCGCTATGTTGATTGGATTTAACGTTAATTTTTAGGGTTTTGATTAGCTGATTCTATGTTCTTTCTGCTTTTGAAATTTGTACAAGGCATTTTCTAGGAAAACATTTTTTTCGAAGGACTTATTTTATGTTTTATATACGGTGTAGATCCTGATGGCGTCAAAACTGCTGCAGTTGCAATCTAAGGCCTCTGAAACGTCCAAGCTTGTAGCCAAGCACGGAAGTTCTTACTACAAGCAGTTGTTGGAGCAGAACAAACAATACATTCAGGAGCCACCAACAGTTGAGAAGTGCAACGAGTTGTCTAAGCAGCTCTTTTACACTAGCCTTGCTAGGTATTCTTACTTGCCTTTTAAGTTTCTAGAAATGATTACAATGTTCCATTTAGTACATGAATTTTCTTTTTTCCTTCGTTGCCACAATGTATCAGTGTATTGTGCTTACCTTGCGAGTTAGTTAATTTGCCTGCACAAAATTGGGTTCTGAAATGTATGTTAAACATGTTTATTTATTGCGCCTACATTAATCATATACAAGTGAGACGTTGACTTATATTGTGTGTTCAGATGTTATATACTATATTTCTTCGGCGTGAACCAAGTGAATTTTTGTTTCTGATAGAAGTGGTAACATATGAAATTTTATATGGAATTTCAGTTGTGAAACCGAGAGCATGCAGAGGTAATGTCTTTGGTGATGTAATTTTAAGTTGTCCACATGAAATGAAACTATTGTGGTTATCATTAGAGAGTTGGATATATCAGTAGTGGTAGAAATCATTATTACTCCATGAACGGAGAAACCATTTTCTGGAGAATTCCTTGAAAAAATAGTATAGTTTTGTTACTTTTCTATATCAGTATATGGCTCATATTTGGGAGTTCCCTAGTTTCATCTACGGGACAGAGATCAAATGGAAGCTGTCTCACAACAAAATTACAAGACTGCATTTTCTTTAACATTCTTGTGATTTCTGTGACTGCTTATGACATGTTGTGAGCTTCTAAACAGAAAAATAAAAGGACAAAACAATGTGGTTGGGTTGCTTATGATTTTGTGTGTTACAAAGAATCAATGATTATACTCCTTATATTGCAATTTCGTTGTTCTGTGCTGTACCATTAGAAACAAATATTAGTTTACTCAGTGGAGACAGTAATACTTGCTAAAACCAGAATCACAAGGACATATCTTAATAACTCTTTTTTATGCAATTTGTGTAGTATACCTGGTCGTACTGAGTTATTCTGGAAGGAGCTTGATTATGTGAAGAATCTGTGGAGGAACAGGAAAGAACTGAAGATTGAAGATGCTGGTATTGCAGCTTTGTTTGGACTGGAGTGCTTTGGATGGTTCTGTGCAGGTGAGATTGTGGGAAGGGGTTTTACCTTCACTGGCTACTATGTCTAAGTGAATGGATGGTATTTCACGGAGTTGGATGTGAATGCCTTTATCACTGTTCACAGAGTTGGATTGTGGCCAACCCCTTGGTGAGTATTATTTTTTTTTTTTGTTTTCATGAAAATTTTGAGCTGAGAAATCAGAGGTTAAAGAGATAGCCTAATAATTTTTATACTTGAAATGGCTTAGGTTGATAAGCCTTGCTGTTCCCTTGTTATCTTCTCAGAATTAACTGTATCCAAGATTGATGGTAATTGTGCAAATTACTCAAACTTTTATCTCGCTCATCATCCATTCTGTTTCTGTCCCTATCATTAATAATCCCTAGTTGGAGGGCATTGGTTCATGGTTTGCCAGCAGTGACCCTGATTAGTATTTCTTGATTTGTTTGTTACACTTATAGATGTGCTAGCTTAAGTGCCATGTATACTTGGAATTAGTTCTAATACCAGAATTGATTGATATTGTGGTCACCTCCAGTGTAGAAACTGGAATACTTGTAGATGTACTATATTAAGATTTTTGATCCAATTTGAGGTTGAAACTGCTCCTCAAACTTCTGTTGCAATATGCTGCCTAAAGTACAGTGATAGCTCGTGGTAAGAAAGCCTTGTACATCCAGAATATTGTGCAATTTTTTTTTGAGATACCTCGGTATCCAATGAGCACATTAGAAGGGGCTAAGTTTCTCCTCATTTATGCCATTTAATTTACTATTTAAAATGGTAATTGAACCACAAATAAAGTGATGAAATACTTGTGTCAATTGTAAGATGTGCGATAACAGTCTTGAGTTCGATCATTGTATAGGTTTTAATGGCTTATGTCATATGCACATAATTGGATTATTAAATTTACTATTTAAAAGGTTGGAGTTTACAAACTCATCCCATAAGTTTGGTTCTCTTTATGTCATTTGTTTGGATGATTAAATTTGTTGATTTAAAATTAAAATTATGATAAAATTGATTGGGTGTATATAATAAAGATCAAAAGTGATTTGATCGATGGTAATTTGATAGTAATTTAATAATTGAATTGGTTAATTTGAAAAATAGAATTTGAGAGTAAAAATAAAAGTGATTTCATAATTTTATTTATATGGGTATGTTTTTATATAAATATATAGTGAATATAAGATTGTATTTGTTTAAAGATTTTCAAGACTTTGACAATGAATATTTATATCTTTGCATATGCGATATTCGAATTTAGGATCTTAATATATAATAATAAATTTCTTAACTACTGAGATCGTTCTGTTCGTGGTGTGTTGTATTTTTTAAATGTTTATAATATTGGTATTTTGATGAATTTGGACATAGTTATCCTTCATTTGATCAAAAAGCTGTCTGAAACCGGTAGCTGACATTCGAACTAATTGATTGAGGGCAATAATTGGGGTTAGGGGGTTAGCGCAACTACCAACTGCGTGAACCTGACCTAATATCACCAATTAGTTTAGCATTATTACGTGGAACTTTAGCCTTTAAGTTTAAATTGATAAATACATTGCGTAACAATAAAGCCAGCTCCTAAAATTTCATCATAAACGTTTCTAAAATTTTATACAGAGCATATTAATACATTAGTGTCACCTCTCTTAATCGAGTATTTTGAATTTGTAGCTTCAAGAAAAAAAAACATTTTGAATTTGAGTAGCTTAGTATTAAAAAAGTGTTTGAGAACTATTTTCAAATTGATAAAGTCGAGAATTATCGTTGCGTAATCTCAAGACTGGTTTAAGAATAAACTGAAACTCCAATTATACAAATATATGATACAAGTATATTGAAATTTATATAAAATTATTAGCATCTAATGACAAAATAATAGGATAAAACGTTTTGATTTATAGTATTAAACTTTAATTTTAGTTTTAACGTAAATTTTAGGTTGGAGAATTGTAAATCACGTAATGACGTGACATTTCTTTATAAATTTTAATTTGTGTATTAGTTTTATTTTTAGATTTTAAAATACTTCATGTTTAGATATTAAATTTTGGTTTACATATTATTTTAGTCCATGTAGATAATCATCAACTCTTTCGATCGTCGCCGGTTAATCGTTTCTATCTTCAATCATCATTTGCGACGATATTAATATTAGAATGTTCATATTTCATTCATAATAACTGGCGTGCTTTTACTGACCTTAATTATTCAGGAACTGCCCCATTGATTTGAAGGAAGCAATATCAAGTGCCATATTTGCATCTGCAAGGTGTGAAGAAATACCAGAACTCAAGGATGTTTCCAAACATTTAACGGCAAAATATGGAAAAGAATTTACTTCTTCTGCACTTGAACTGCGTCCTAATTCTGGTGTTGGTCGCATGGTGAGTTAGAGTTAGCATGGAACATCTATTATTGACTAAAATGTCGTTGAAAAGTACTCAAACTTTCATAGTATTATCTACCATAACGAAAATTATATAGCCCTAACAAAATCTTTTTGTTTCCTCTAGTTGGTTGAAAAACTGTCTGCTAATGCACCTGATGGCCCAACTAAACTCAAAATTTTGACTGCAATTGCTGAGGAACATAAGATCAACTGGAATCCTGAATCATTTGGAGCGAAAGAATCAAATATTTATGATGACATGCTGGTAAGACTAGTAGAATATTTGATTATGAAGTGGTTAATTGATTTTCTCGATTACTAATTCTCTCCCCATATGAATTTGCTTCTGCAGAATGGACCAAATACTTCTATGGAGGCCACCAAAATTTCGGCAGATCATCCAATTATCCAAGCTTCACCCGGTCGTGAGCAGAGACCTCAAGGTGTTCAACTTCCTAATAATGATAAAGAGCCACCTCATGTTCAAGATTCAAAACACATTGGAAAAAGTGACGCACCAACAAGTTTCTATAAGCACAACTCAAAATCATCTCTTCAGCCTAATGATTTTGATTATTCAAATACTAGTACCAACAATTCGATATCCTCTGGAACTTATCCACCAAATTCAAGACCTCATGGTATGCTAATTATCAGATTTAAACTTGCTGTCGATCTTCTTCCAGTATTTTTTAATCATTCATTGTATGTTAATTGTTGGTAAATATTTGGGTACTTTGTTTTTCAGGAATTGAGAATCAAGGGATGGAAGTTAGGAATTCATATTCTGGGAATAAGAGACCTTCCTCAATACCAAGGCAACATTGGCAAATGGAATTTAAAGATGCTACTGCTGCTGCTCAGGCAGCTGCAGAATCTGCAGAGTGAGCAAGCATGGCTGCCCGAGCTTCTGCCGAACTTTCAAGCCGTGGAAATATCTCACAACAGCATTCAATGGAATCACACATGTCGTCTCCTCATAGTATGAAAGATGAGGATCTACAAAAGTATACTCACTCATCATCTCAAAATGAACATTGTGCCAGATATCCGGTTAATAATTCCCATCATGGAAGGAATTCTGGGCTTATAAACACAGTAACGTTGCAAGGAGCAGTGATAAGTCCACTGACAGTTCCTTCAAGTCGACTGCATCTTCCTTCATTGAAAAAGCATCAGTGAATAACGAAACTGCAGATGCTTATTCTCAAATAAACATGCCTGAAGGCAGGCAGATGGAGCATTTTGCTGAACTGAGTATCAATAGAAACTTGGGCAAAAATGGGATGCAATTTGTGAATGAACTGCATGATATTAAGAATCCTCGGAATATTGATCACCATGAAGTCAGGGTTGGAGAACAATCAAGCGATTCCTCTTCTCATTCTCAACCGAACACTTTCACTGATGATCATGATCTTGTCTCTAATTCAAATTGGCAGAAGTCAGAAAATGAAACGAGAGATTTGGATGAAAGCGGGATGCAATTTGAGAATGGACTACCTGATACAAAGACCCGTGATGATCGTGATGTTGTATCAAATTTAAACAGTCAGAAGTCCATAAATTATTCTGATAAGGATTTATTTCTTCCCAATGATAAAGGAAGCCTTCCAAGAAGCACAAAAGAAACAACAGATTCTTTTGACAATGCCTCAGCAGTTTTCGAGGATTACGGATCAGATAATTATGAAAATTTGGTTTGGAGGAAGAGCATAAAGTACATGAAAATAACATGTACTTTTCATCTCCAGGTCAAAGATCACCTACTCATCCATTTACAACTGCAAATTCTTGGAGCGTTCAGCAGAACAACAGTTCACCAGAAAAGTCTACTTCAAAATCACAGATTTTCTCAGAGGAGCGGACTATGCCTGCCTTCTTTGAAAGTTCAACTAGCTTTTCAGTTCCTTCTAACGTGGATGACTTGCCTGCAAATTTTGATGATTATGGTCCTTATTCAGAAAGTGAAGAGGAGGTAGACAAATCTAAGTTTGTCAGGAGTAGCAATTTTAGTATAGGTAGTGGTAAACAGAATACGGATTCCTACAAGCCTGAAAACAGTAGCAGTTTGACTCCACGATTGGCTGAAGGCATTGAAGATACTGAACATTCCAATGAGGCTAGTCTGGAAGAAAGTACGGAATTGAAATTTGGAAACTTGACAAGTGGCCTACGAAATAAGGGTTATAGGTACCCATCGTATTCAAAATTTCCACGAGACAATGTGTTTTCCTATGGAGAAGCAGCCAGTGATACATCAACTGGAATGAAGCAATCATCCTCTCCCACAGCAGCGGAAGCTTCGATTAATTCTGGATCTTACAATCAAGAGCCACACAGTAGGAAAGGGAATGATGAAGTGAGTAGAAAACTGGGCCCGAAAGCATCGGTTAATCAGGTTGACTCTAGTGATGATGGTTCTGAGGAACAACCAAAAGATACTTCTCGTAGCATTGAAGACCATTACAACAGAACTTCAATTTTTGAAGAAAGTAAAAAATCAAGCTCAAGGGGCACTGTCCCATATTTTGATTCTGGGAATAGTGATTCTGATGAAGATCTTCCTAAAGCAAGTTTGAAGGCTCATTCAAACACAAGTTTATCTCGAAGGACAAAGGCCTCTCTTCCATATTCACGTAAAGTTTCAATTACAGAAATACAGTTTCCTCTGAGTCAGCAGTAGTGTTTGACCATGGTGAGAAGAAGAATTTAACCTCAAGGAGTACAGATGCTTATGAAGCACTTCCGAAGAGACAGCCTCAGAAAAAGAACTCAGATAACGGGGAAAGTTCTCAGCATTCTCGGTTGGCACCTCAACCAACTTCAAGGCTGGTTTCAGAGACCAAAGGTTCTTCAGTTGGTGGAACTTTGAAGTCGTCAGAAAAGGAACAACAGTCGTCAGAAAAGGAACAACAGTCTGCCCGTCTGGAAGGGTACAACATTTGGTAGTACCAAAAGTTTGAATGCTAAAACTTCAATAGGAGAGGGATCATCTAATGGGAGTGCTACTCATGTTCATCCAAAGCTTCCCGATTTTGATGCCTTGACCGCACGCTTGAATTCTCTCAGACAGAATCGCTAGTGTACAGATACTTCGTGCATTCTGATATGCTGTGTTCATATTATTGGTGACTATTTTTTATTTGCACAGATTCTTTTTTAAACTTTATAGGGATATTTTACCAACTAGAGTTGAAATATTATTTGTTTATTTTTTTTATTTGAAACTTGCTGTAATGCGATATACGACAGTTCCTTTGGGACTAGAGAATTAAGAGCGCAATAAGTTTCTCAGGCTGAGTATGACAGTGAAACGCCTGTATTAGCAGATTACCAGAGGAGCGCAAACGATGTAAAATTCCAAGGCAATTAAATTTAAAGTTTGCTTTTGTAGTTCAATTACTACGAAAATCAAAACAAATCAAGGCATTAAGCCAAAAATGTTATTATTATAATCATACGGTTTTAAATCATACCAAGTTTAGATAAGATATTGATTGGAAGTTTCAAATATAAAGCAGCGCTCAAAGAACCACCCTTCTCCATTTCACATCAGACAGTGATCAGCAAGATAACCGAATCTAATGAAAATAACCCAGAACCTGCCCACCTACATTCCTTCTAATGGCATCTTCATGATCCAAAACTCCATCTGGAGTTGAAATCACGACATAACCCCACTACATGTCATAAGAACAATAAGCAAGGTGAGTATCAAACCAGAAGAGGTCATCATTCCATGACATGAAGATTCTACTGACATAGCTGGTATGCTTGCATTCTCTAATCCCAAGTACTTTCTACATGAAAATGACGATGAATAATTGAAACACCATACACAAGGATTTTCAACAAACCTGACGTGTTGGAAGTTTAACTGTTTTGTATTTTTCGATATCCTTTGCTTTGATGTCCTGTCTGTAAGTGAGTGCCCGGCAATCGTTTACCCTGCCTTGCAGTTCAACCGTTATCCTCCCCACTTTATGTGGATCATGAATCTCGAAATTCTTAATGTATCCTTTCAAAATGAAAATTACAAATAAGTCAAAGACCCAACAAATATGCAATAGATTCAAAAGTAACAGTTGCCACAAGTCTAAATACACAAGACAACTAGATTTGTAGGCTCTTAGTTCATGAGATTATGACTGCGCTATTGCAACAAAAAGAGCACTATGCCTAATGGTTTTCAATGCTTAGAAAACCCAACACTAAGCTTGATAAAAAGAAAAAGGAACAAACTTTTCATAATTCTTTCTACACCATATTGATAAAATAACCACGCAACTGAAGATAGAAGCATGGATTCTGGTAATCAATCTAAAGTCTAATCACCCATGTTTCAAGCAAATGTGAAAATAAACCATAATAGTGAAGGAAGATGCACCACTTTCGTATTATATCATCAGCTGCAGAATAAAATTCCATTGTCCTTAAAATTTATAACAAAAAGGGATTCATATTCATATATTATGGTTACTTGACCAGTCTAAAAATGAACCAGCGGTTTCCAACATTCAAATTAGCCAAAAAAGTGTATAACCAAATAAGCTTATAGTTCATTGTTAGCTGGGTCACTTCAACCTAACCAATTCTTGAGATTAATCAACAAAATATAAAATAAATCACAAACATATGATTATTACCCTAAATAATCAAAAGCCATAATAAAAAGCAATGTATTAAAGAATTAAGAACAATAAAAAAAATTCTGAAAGCCTCACATATTACAGGCCTTTTACTTGTTGTACAGTTTTCTACAAGGTTAATACCAAGATTTTAGCTGGTAGATTAGGGCCTATTCTCTCCAGAATTATTAACCCTACTCAATCTGCATTTGTGCCTGGTAGAAAAATTGTTGGCAACATATTACTTGCTCATGAACTTGTTAGTAATTATCCCAGGAATGATGGAGTTGCAAGATGTGCTATGAAGATAGACCTCTGGAAAGCTTATGATTCCTTGCACTGGGACGTTATAGAAGAAGTTCTCCTTGGTTTAAATTTTCCTCACCGGTTTATCGACAGGGTTATGAATTGTGTGAGAACTCCTTGGTTTTTGGTTATGGTGAATGGAAGTTCAGAAGGATATTTTCCTGGTAAAAAAGGTCTAAGAGAAGGAGATCCAGTGTCCCCTATGCTCTTTGTCATTGCTATGGAATATTTCTCTATAACTTCATCTAAACTGCCTAGTGAGTTCAAGTTTCACAAGGGGTGTAAAAATCTAAAAATTAGTCACCTATGCTTGGTTAGTGCTCTTAAACACTTAGAGAATGTCTCAGGACTCCAAATCAATAAAACAAAGCGCTCAATTTTCCGTTGCAGTATGCAAAGAGGGCTTAAAGATCAGACCCTTCAGTTTCTAGGGTTCAGGGAAGGTACTCTCCCAGATACTTATCTCGGTGTTCCTTTAATTTCCTCAAGATTAACAAAAGAGATTTGCAAAAAGCTTGTACAGAAGATACAAAACGAATCAGCTCTTGGACAGTGAAGCACCTTTCATAGTTTCATTACAGGAAGAGTTCAACCGATCAACTCTGTGTTGAGAACCATGCAGGTATATTGGTGTTGCGTTTTTATTCTTCCTAAAAGTGTTATTAAAGAGGTGGATAAGATATGCAGAAGTTTCTTGTGGAAGGGTAATACTAATGCTACTGGGAGAGGAGCCGTTGCTGGGGACATTGTATGCACACCTAAGAAAGGTGGGCTTGGTATTAAAGATATCATGAGCTTTTGGGGCTTAACTAAAACACCTGATGCTAACTGGGTATGGAGATATCTCTTTGATTTGAGAAAAAGTCCTTCAAAGGATTATTCAAGTATAAATGGGGGAAAAGGTGATTTCAGCTTTCGGTTTGACTCATGGTTAAATGGGAAGAGCCTATTTGATCTATTTCCTGGGATTAACATTTCTGATATAGATGTCCCTAAAACTACTATTGTGAAAGACCTCTGGAGAGACGACTTCCCGGAGTTCCAAGGAATACACCATATCTAAAAGTGAAGATAACCTCTCCTGGAGTTCCATGAATTCTATTATGTATACTTTACTTCGGTCTGGGAGGTTATTAGAGATGCTAAACCTAAGGAAGGATGGTACAAGCTGTTGTGAGGCAAGCTCAATATTCAGAAACAAAGATTTATCATGTGGCTTGCATGAAAACACAGACTAGCTACCAAAGATAGAATGTTCCATTGGAAAATCAATGCAGACGGCTATTGCAGCTTCTGTACCCCTCATAAAGAAGACTATCTAGCATCTGTTCTTCGAATGCTCTTTTCCTGGAGATGTTTGGAAACAACTCTGATAGAAATGTTTTACCCTGGGGGAGATAATCAGCTAGTTTACATGGAAAGCAATAGTCAGACAGCTCTATTAGAAGAGTAGCTTTTCTTACCACAATTTACTGGTTATGGATGGAAAGAAAAGCTCCTATTTTTCAAAATACTAGCGCTGAAGCAGTTAGATTCATTCAGAGATTTTATAGTGTCAAACTGCGTGTCTTGCTTAATTTCTCTTCTAATTACATAGATGATAATTGGGGAATTTGTTCCTGATGTTCTTTTTGTTGAATTACTACACTGTACGGTTCTTTGATGCAATAAAATACCTTTATTGATAAAAAAAAGAGTTCACCTCGATTTTTCATGATATTTAGAAAGGAAGATATAACGGTGGAGATTGGTCTCAGTTCCACCGTCGCTTTGCCTCTCTTCTCCGCATTCACTATTGACCTCAACGCATCGTTCAGTATCCTCCTACCCATCTCTGTCTCTCCCAACCAGTTCCAGAGCTGAACGGCTAAACCCTCAATATGACGGCCAAAACCTCGTTTCGACTAACGAAAATGTCGTCTTTTCAATCATATATATATATATACACACACACATATATTGACTCGAATCAGCAAATAAAAATTAAGCAAAAAAAGTAGACATGGGGCGTTCCGAGAATTGAACTGGGGACCTCTCGCACCCGAAGCGACTAACATTTATTATGTCATTTTAATTACATATTTTTGAAAACTAATAAAATATTTTTCTTTTGAAACGAATATGCCCACTATACTCCATTTATTTAAATTTGCGATTCGAGAATAAAATTTCTTATTTTTGAACAAATAATTGATATTATTTTACTAACGTACTTAATCCAGATGCCATGAAGACAAACAAAATGAATGAGCTAAAGCTTAATTTCTGACACATAATAACATAGGGCTAGGACCAAGGTGGTAATGGGGTAAAGTGCGGAGTATAATAATCTTTCCAAAAAGAAAAATCTTCACAAACAAAAAATCAGGAAAAAAAATGCCCATATATTTCACGTGGAACCCACGCAATTGGAAGAAAAAAAATCAAAATGCATTAAAGGTCATTAAATTGTACTTAAATAATTATTTTGATAGTTAAATTATTTAAAATTTTAAAATAGTCATTAAATTTAGATTTAAATATGCATGAAACTCTCAAACTTTTAAAAAATCAATTAAATTTCTAAATTATTTTTGCGTTTAATTGAACTATCAAACCAAAAAGTTAAATCAATTAAATTATTTGATTAATATTGACCATTATATTTTAATAGTTTTTATGATATATTACTAAAAAGTGACCATTACTGTTCTTTAACTAAAATTTATAAAAAATATTAAATTTAAAAATTATTTTGAAAAGATATTGATAATTTTTGAGAAATATCGCTTGATAATATTATGATGTAACATATAATAGTAAATGATTAAAAAAAATATTAGATTAACTGTCAATATTGATGAAATGGATAAATTAATATAATTTTAAAATATAAAAACTTAATTAGGTGAAAAAGTTAAAGGAATTAATTGTTTTTAAAAAAATTGAGAGTTTCATGCATTCTTAATTCTTAAATTTATCAAATTATTATAAAATGATCATTAATTTTATCAAAAATTTAAATTTATCATAACATTATAGTGATTATTTTATACTAAATTGATAAATTTAATAATTATTTAATAACTAAAATGATCATTTGAGCATAGTTCAATGACTTTAGTATACTTTACCCAAAGAAAAAGAGAAGTAGATAGGAAGAAAAAGAAAAGAAAAAAAAGAGTACGATTTAGTTGCAGGCCTAATCCCATCTTGAAAATGAACAAATTTTCCAAGATCAAGATTTCAATTTTTGCAACTACTAAAACTGATTGCCGTTAGCAAAGTCGGTATAAATAAATAAACAAACAAACAAACAAAATTACAGAAAACGGAACATCAAACATTTCCTTCATTCCCCCGTTTAGAGAGATGAATTTGCTCCCAATCGAGAATCCGCAGATCGCGAAGAAGCACCGCTTCAGGTCACTGAAGCTGGTAAACGTGGACTTAGATCAAGAATTCGAACACCGACCCTTCGGTGTGGACTACGGCACATTCAACAATGGTCTCACTTACTATGTTCGTTCTAATCCTAAGCCCCGCCTGAGAGCCGCTCTCGCTCTGGCCGTCAAAGTTGGGTTAGTCCCTCTTCCGCCTTTTGTTTTCTTTCCTTCTTTGTTTTTTAATTGAAACAAAAAATTGATTGACTTATCAAAGACCTAACAAGACCTAGCTTCTTGTTTAGGGTTTTTTTTAAAGTGCTGTAGTAAATCTTTATAGGTAATTGTCGAGTGTGCTTATTTTAATGGCGTTCTTGGCAGCTCAATTTTGGAAGAGGAAAATGAGCGTGGAGTTGCTCACATAGTTGAGCATCTTGCTTTTAGTGCCACCAAAAAATACACAAATCATGATATTGTGAAGTTTCTTGAAAGTATTGGAGCCGAATTCGGTGCTTGTCAGAATGCCGTCACTTCTTCTGATGAGACGGTATATGAGTTATTTGTTCCAATTGATAAACCTGAGCTGTTGTCTCAGGCAATCTCGGTATTAGCAGAATTCAGTTCAGAGGTACTATCTCTTTATCTTTTCTTTTCCTTTTTTTTCATATGGTCACCTTTTTGTGTTTTTTCCCCTTTTGGTTGTTTACTTGTTTTTCCTTCGAACATCTTGTGCAGATTCGAGCCTCGAAAGATGATCTGGAAAAAGAAAGAGGGGCTGTTATGGAGGAGTATAGAGGAAACAGAAATGCTAGTGGAAGGATGCAAGAAGCGCATTGGGCTCTAATGATGGAAGGTTCCAAGGTATTAGTATTCACTCATTTATGTATTCCGTAAACATCAGTTATTGAATTAATTGATTTGTAAGGCCTTTACAGTCGAGATCTTTAGCCTACTCATAGCAATTGTTGGATCTATTTATTAATCCAATCTTTAGCTCTACTTCTGTAGTAATTTTTAGAATGGAGAATGTTGTATCGGCAAGTGATGGGGATAAGAATTTTGTTCCATTTATTGTCTTTAGTGAAGTCATTTCATTTTGCTTATTGTTCAGACTTGAGATTAAGCTAGCAGTTTAAAGTTGTAAGAGTAATATCATCAGTATATTTTGGTTGACATTCTAACTAGTTTGTCCTAATTTTATTTGGAGTACATTTTACATCTAAGCCTGGTTTGATTGCAGTATGCTGAGCGTCTACCAATCGGATTGGAAAAAATAATTCGAACAGTGTCTTCTGAAACAGTGAAGCAGTTTTATAAAAAATGGTACCATCTGCAAAATATGGCAGTAATAGCTGTTGGAGATTTTCCTGATACAAAGGTTAGTATTCGTTAGAATGGAAGCTCTATTCTGATTTCTGAGGTACAACATAAGTCTGCTTATCAGCCAAGATTTCTTAACAATTTCTTATTGTTTCTGTCTCTTCTAGAGTGTTGTTGAGTTGATAAGGACTCATTTTGAGGAGAAAATCTCTGCATCTGACCCTCCAAACATACCATTATTTCCAGTTCCTTCTCATGAGGAGCCACGTTTTTCATGTTTTGTGGAGTCTGAAGCTGCCGGGGTGAGTACACTTCAAGTCTTGAACATATTTTAGCATATTGCTTTGGAGGAAATCTAATCATTAATAATTCTGCTTACTTGTCATTGCCTTGTAAAAGTCTGCAGTGATGATTAGCTATAAGATGCCAGCGGATGAGCTGAAGACTGTTAAAGACTATAGGGACATGCTTGTGGAGTCCATGTTTCTACATGCTCTGAATCAAAGGTTCTTTAAAATCTCTCGTAGAAAGGATCCACCATATTTCTCATGCTCTGCTGCCTCTGATGCTCTTGTTCGCCCCTTAAAAGCTTATATTATGAGCTCGACTTGTAAGGAAAATGGGACTTTGCAGGCCCTAGAATCAATGCTACTTGAGGTTTGCTATCCATTTGTTATCTCTGGAGTCGTATATATTCCTTCTTCCTCTTTGTCATTCATATCATCTTGTGGATGCACTGTTCTTCAGGTTGCAAGGGTGCGACTTCATGGGTTTTCAGAGCGTGAAGTGTCAGTTGTCCGAGCTTTATTGATGTCGGAGATTGAATCTGCCTATTTGGAGCGTGATCAAATGCAATCAGCTAGCTTACGAGATGAATATATTCAGGTATATTATTAGAGTGGCTAAAATCTTTTCCATTTATCTAATTTGAGGTTTGTGAATTTAGAAAGATATGTTGTCTTCTTCATTTTCATATGGCAGCACTTTATCCACAATGAACCTGTTATTGGTATTGAGTATGAAGCTCTACTCCAAAAATCTATTTTGCCGTGTGAGTAAACAATTTTCTCTTGTTATATAGAAATGAACCAGGTTCAATGTTATGTATTTGTACTGATTATGATTATGCGACGTGTACATAGGTATATCTGCATCAGAGGTGTCCAAATATGCAGATAAATTACAAACATTGTGCAACTGTGTCCTGAAGACAATTGAACCTCAAGCTTCTGCTACAATTGATGACCTTAAAAATGTGGTGTCCAAGATCGATAATCTTGAAAAGCAAGGGAGCATTACCCCATGGGATGAAGACTACATTCCGGAAGAAATCATCAGTATAAAACCGACTCCAGGGTAAAGTTGGCTTTCTACTTTTAAATGTCTTTGTATTCTATATTTGCAACTATTTTACCTCAATAGCTATTTACTTGTGCCCTTTTAACAGAACTTCATATCATATCTTCTTTTTTTATAGGAATTGCAGGCCTCGTTAAAAACTCCTTCATGATTAAAGGAGCTTATAGAGAAGCTCCTTAATCAGCGGAAGGAGGAAAAGAGTGCCTTAAGATTTTATTAACCATAGAAAGAACACGATACAACCAGGGTGCCACACCCAATATGAACAAAACATCAAAAACAGCCACCAACAATCCTACCAGAACCAGCCTAATCCAACAAAGCAACAACAACAACCTAAAAAAGACTGGCCAAACAAAAAACCTAAACGAGGCCCGATAGACACTCAATCAAACAAAACAACCAGAAAAAAGCCAAGGGTGACAGCTGACTAAAATCATAAAAGCCAACTTCTAACCCAAAGGCCACGGAGCTTTCACATGATAAGAAAACAAAAAAACACGCATATAGCCGCCTTTCCACCACATCACCATGTCTTGTTGGCTAAAGACCATCAGAACTTCCAGCTCCAGACAAAAAGCATGGTGTAGATCACCTGAACCTTCTACTCCTTCACTCGCCATCGTCTTCCGACAATAGATACACTACTGCGCCATTAGACTCACAACCCAAATCTTTCCCAAAAGGCAAGGAATTGAACGTATCCTTCTGTTGAGACTGCCCCAATGCTGGAAAATCAGATTCATAAGTGAATCTGCCATCAAAAACAAACACCTCTTCCTCCCAATGCACCTTACTCTGATGGCTCTTGCTTCGGGAACCCCTATACTTTCTTTTAGGTGCTGTAAAATTCCCTTGAAAAAATTGTTTAGATCTAAATTTGTTGCCAGAACCCACCTTAGGTCTCATGTACTACCTTGCGATACCCTTTGGATTTACGAATGCGTAGTTGTAAGAACAGCCCTCGTAAATCCCTTCCTCCACCTCCCTTATCTCAACCCGACCATCCAACATGGGGAAATCATTAAAATAATCCTTTGAGCCTACAAAAGCACATGCAGACTCACTATTTTTCCTAAAGGCAACTTCATTATCCCTCTCCACGAGAACCAACAGATCCACTTTATCCTTTAGGCTCACATCTTCCAATTCCTTTGACACTAAGAGACCATCCTGGATGGGAGAATTAATTAAAAAATCCTTACTCTCCACAAAACCACGTGCAGGCAAACAAGTGTCCTTAAAGACATCCATTGCTTCTCTCTCCGCATGCACCAACAATGTCTTGTGTTCCCCCACTCCCTCCATTTGGGAAAGAACCATCCTCTGAGCCCCAACGTCGCTCCTCGGACCCATCATCAAAGCCTTTCCTATGTTCCTGTCCTCCACACACTCACCCGACAGGAGGCTGCCTCTAGCACTAGTCCCCAAACAGCAGAAATTTTTTTCTTCATTCTCAGAACACCTCACGGCCGACTGCACCTGCGAAGAGTGAATGGAACTTCCAGCTTCTTCAGAACCCTCTTCCAGCTCAGGAAACTTAACTGGAAAGGCACCAACGAGCTCCCTCACCTTGGATAACGGGGATACGACTGCCTCTTCAAAAGAAGACGACTCTACCCACTTAATAAAAATTCTGCACCATCCTAACAAGCTGTCTTTGAGAGTTGAGAATTTACTGTCGTCAACAGAACCAGCAATGGGAGCCACCATGTGACTAACATCCTTCCTTACATTGTTTCCCTCGACTGAATAAGGACCAGAGAACTTCTTCCTCCAGAAAACATCACGAGGAAGATATCTCGCCATGAATACTCTAATTTTGTTGCCTTGAATCCAAGATCTATCAACACAGTTGATAGCCTTCCTCTCGTCCTCCAGTCTGGTGAAACAAACAAAACCAAACCTACTTCCTCCCTTGCTTCTTTTATTGGGGATGAAAGAATCCACCACCTCGCCATATTTATCGAAAAATAACCAAAGACCTTTGTAATGAAAACTCTCTGGAATGTTGAAAATGATCACAGTGACACAGTTTTTCCCAACCGGAACTCTCACCTTACTCGCCATTAAGAGAAATGATAAGGAATGAAAATAGAAAAACTTATCTAAAACACATGATTTTTAGAGAGGAGGAGCTTCTCTCACTAAGTACTAAGTTAAAGAACCCTAGGAATTGCCATTCCTAGACCAATGTAACTGGAACGGCCTACGATCCCTTTTCTATCTTTATGCATCACATCCTCGATTCTTTTTGCCATCCTTCCTTCCATCTTCTGAACATTCGTCTTGTTATTGTAGTTCTCGAGTACAGCCATTTAACTTTGTATCATATCTTATAATGTGATTGATTCTTTTGATTCCTATCAGCGTCTCAACTTTCCCTCTTTGGACGATTTCTTTTTACCATTTTAAATTCTCTCTTTCATGAAAGATTGACTATCTCCTTTGGTTACTTAGACTAAGTCCAATCAAATAATTCACTTCAGGTACGTTGTAGAGCAGAAAGAGTACTCAAATATTGGAGCTACTGAATTAACTCTGTCAAATGGCATGCGGGTTTGCTATAAGTGTACAGACTTTTTTGATGATCAGGTATAATTCCTTTGATCATTGTGGCATCTTTATTGGTGTTCAGTTTCCTGCCTGAGGCAACATTTGAATCTTAATTCTAGTAATTTAGCCCTAAGACAACTTTATGTCTCTTTTAATTGATTTCAAGGCATCTTATTCTTTCTGGAGCAGCAGTACACGTTCTTATGTACCATTTCAACAGGTTCTTTTTACAGGGTTCTCATATGGGGGGTTATCTGAACTTCCTGAAAGTGAGTATTTTTCATGTTCAATGGGATCAACCATTGCCGGAGAAATTGGTGTATTTGGTCATAGACCATCGGTGCTAATGGAGATGCTTGCTGGAAAGAGAGTAGAAGTTGGTACAAAGCTTGGGGCCTATATGAGAACCTTCTCCGGTGATTGTTCACCTTCAGACTTGGAAACTGCCTTGCAGGTTTGTTTCACTGGATAATGTTAAAATATTTAGTATTATCAGTTCTGATTATTTTCTACATTAATTCTGCTCAATTATGCACATGCTTACTGCTTAGAACAAAGGATTAGCATTCTTTCAGGCAGACAGCACCTCTGCTCTGATTTACCAAAATTAGATGTGCTAATATTATACTTTTGCTCATCTTTTCTGACTTTATTTTAAAAGCAAACTATTTAAGTGTTCTCGCAGCTTGTCTATCAACTATTTACAATGAATGTAATTCCTGGGGAAGAAGAAGTCAAAATAGTGATGCAAATGACAGAAGAAGCTGTCCGTGCTCAAGAGAGGGATCCTTACACTGCATTTGCAAATCGGGTGAAAGAGCTCAACTATGGGAACTCTTACTTTTTCCGGGTATGCATGATATCATGCTTTATAATATCAGACTTTTTTTTTGGAATCTGTGCCTTCTTTAACATTCTTTTTGTATCTTCTTTTGCAGCCTATTAGAATAAGTGACCTTAGGAAAGTTGATCCAGTAAAAGCATGTGAATACTTCAACAGCTGTTTTAAGGACCCATCGACGTTTACAGTTGTGATAACTGGGAATATTGATCCCTCAATTGCAGTTCCTCTTATTTTGCAATATTTGGTAGGTTGGGAATCTTTTAAGGTACAGTCTATATTCATCTTTTCTTATGCTAACAAAAGCTCGATTATCTGCACAGGGTGGAATACCAAAGTCTCCTGAAGCCATATTCCATTACAACCGTGATGATCTCAAAGGATTACCATTTAAATTTCCCACAACCATAATTAGGTAGGTACTTCTGTATTTGGTGGTGGTGATAGACAATGTCAAGATGTTTGGACAAGAAGCTTTAGGTGGAGTCAATTACGGTGTCAATAGATTGTCATTGACTTCAAATTTTAGCACTTTGTAACACTTATACATACAATTTTGTATTCATGAGTGTGCATACTAACTGACTTTTGGTATAGGCTAATATATAATTTCTATTGGGATTCAACAAATTTTTCTAATGCATTGTTGTCATTGTAGAGAGGTGGTACGCAGCCCCATGGTAGAAGCACAATGTTCAGTCCAGCTATGCTTTCCTGTGGTGTTGAAGAATGGAACAATGGTGTGTGAGGGGTTTTTTTTCCCTTTCTTTTTCCTCTTACAGGTACATGTAATCTGGAAAGGAATAATTCAGAATCTTGACTGACATTTTCTTTTATTTTGTGCACCTTGCTTTTGGAAACTAAAATGCCAGGTAGAAGAGATTCACTGTGTCGGTTTCTTGAGCAAACTTATTGAAACAAAAATCTTGCAGGTTCTTCGTTTTAAGTATGGGCAGGTATGCACTTCTCCTGAAATTTACATTTATCTGTTTAATTATTTCTTTTACCTATGTTTTTTAATCGCTCTTTATGTACCAGATCTACTCTGCATGTGTTTCTGTGTTCCTTGGCGGCAATAAGCCTTCTAGAACTGGTGATGTTCGTGGAGATATGAGTATTAATTTTTCTTGTGATCCAGAAATCTCCTCGAAGTTGGTATGTATCTCCCTTTCTATCTTTCCCTGGTTGTAATGACTTAGTAGCAGTGATCTCATAAATTCAGTTGTGGAACAGGTTGATCTTGCTTTGGAGGAAGTAGTACACCTTCAAGAAGAAGGGCCTGCATATCAGGATGTTGCAACTGTACTTGAAATTGAACAGAGAGCCCATGAAAACGGACTGCAGGTTGAACTTCTTATGAGCTGTGTTATAAAATTTTTGTCCTAGTCTTTGCAGTTTCTAGGATGGTAGCTTATATCTCCTTTTCCATCTTAAGTGCTTAGCCCATTACAGAATTCTATATCACTGTATTTGACCTAATTGATTGGCACTTACTGTAGATAAAGATATATGAATAATAAAAAAATACAGCATTACTGAATTCTGAATGTTAATTTCCATCACTTTCTCAGGAAAATTATTACTGGCTGGAGAGAATTTTGAGAAGCTACCAATCAAGGGTCTACTCTGGTGATGTTGGCACTTCCTTCAAGGTGGTTCGCCTGTCTGTTAATGGTTTTGGACATAAAGTTAAAAAGTGCTTTGGGAGAAGATTATATATGTTCTGTGTGGATGACTGTTAGCTATTGGATTTGTCGATGCTGAAACTCGAGCATTTAGTTATCAGCCACCTTTCTTTCTCTTGGAAAGAGTAGAACAAGTATATGCTCATTTTGATTCTTTATCCACTGCAGGTTCAAGATGAAGGAAGATCCAGGATTAGAGAATCTCTGACACCTTCAACTGCCCAGTCAGCACTGCAAAGGATATTGCCTTACCCTTGCAAAAACCAGTACACTATTGTGATTCTTATGCCAGAAGATTCTCGATTTAAGTTTCTGAGATCACTTTTCCAGCGAAATGATTATGGTAGAGATGCAAAGGTCAGTTATCTTCTCATTTCCTTGTGTTCTTGGAATATATTCAAATACAATGTCATTATTTGGATTTAAAAATAGATGTTTCTATTTTGGATTGTTAATCTCAGAACTAAAACTGACTTTTGTACGTGACACAGACTTTAGCAGCCATTGCTGGTATAACAGTTCTGGCAGTCTGCTTGTGGAGATATTCACGGAAGTCGTAACGCACCTGTATGTATAAAACAGTTGATTGCTTTCTGACCATGGAACTTGAAGCAATAACTTAGAGGATCATTGTTGATCGACGCCCAGATTTTACCTGCTTCCCCCCCCCCCCATTTTGTAACGTTTTCATGGTAGAGAATGATATGCCTATTCATAACTAATTTGATAGACACATCCAAACATGGCTGTTACTACTGCAGTTGGCTTGACTCTGGGCAGTCTCGAGCGTCCTTTATTGTTGCCTATTCAATGAAATGTTTTGTAATTTTGTACTAGAAAATTTATGGTTACTTCAGTAGCCACCATCCAGTCGTAGTTTTTTTGCAGGAAAATGTGGGTTTAAATTCTTATTATTTTATTGTTGAATTATTTAATTTAAATTTAATTGGCTATATATTATAAAAACACCTAAAATATGAGTATAAAAAGTTTCACCAGTATTTGTTTTCATAAAAAAAAAATGGGTTTAAATGGTTTTCTGTTATTGTAATTTTCTTTTAGTGACAAGTGACAACCATAAATAAGTAAAACAAATCGATAAAAAATATCTTAAATGATTAATTTGTGTTAATAGTTATAAAATATATTTTAATTATACATTTAATTTGCATTTAAGATCGTAAATCTTCATTATAATTTTAAATATTCAATCTTTTAATTAAATTAATATGCTATTACGAGTGTGACGGTAAAAGTTCGGGTGAGACAGAGACCTTTTACGGATTTTGATTTAATTTTAAAGGCCCAATCAAAGTTGCGGTCGATCCATTAATATTCTTAAACGACGCCACTGCAATCTACGGTTTTTTTTTTTTTTCGTTTTTATCGTTACGCCTCCCCTTTCTCTTTAGTAGCTTCTGATTTCCTTCATACGCAACCAGGTCTGGGTCTTGAACAATAAGTTAGTATTCTCTCGTTTATTTAATTTTTTTTATTATTAAGATCTGGTTTTGAACTGACAATGGGTGAGTGAATGCTGGTAAGGATTAACACTAGAGAGAGTGAAAATGGTTGAGAAAACAAGGGGACGAAAAGAAGAGTTGTGACCAGAGAGTACACCATCAACCTTCACAAGCGCCTTCATGGCTGGTAACACATCTTTCCCTTTAAATTCCCTTGTTAATTTGCTTTACTTTGTGGGGGGTTAGTTGTCCGGTTGCAAAATTAGCTCTTCGCTGTATAACGTTGGTTGCTCGATTATTACTGTTCTCAGTATTTCGTAGATGTGTGTATTGATCTAATTGCTAATTTATTTGGTCAAGTAGTAGCTTTTCGCTGAGTAAGCAATTACATTATTCAGAGTTAGATGTGTAACTGATTGCGAGGTTCATGATACTGTGGATGATGTTTGCCTTTATGTTGTTAATAGGGTCGACTAGGTTGAGCTGTGGTGGAACCAAGAAAAGCTTGGTTCTGCTGCAATGGTAAACGAGGCCTATATTGATGCCCACTAAACAGTTGTATAACGAATTTTGAACTATGATGTTGTTGGAAACAGCACATTCAAGAAGAAAGCTCCGAAGGCAACAAAGGAGATCAGGAGGTTTGCAGAAAAAGCCATGGGGACCAAGGATGTGAGAGTTGATGTCAACCTGAACAAGCACATCTGGAGCAGAGGTATCCGAAGTGTTCCAAGAAGGATCAGGGTTCGAATTGCTCGCAAGATAAATGACGATGAAGATGCAAAGGAAGAGTTATACTCTCTAGTAACCGTTGCTGAAATCCCAGCTGAAGGATTGAAGGGTTTAGGCACCAAGGTCATCGATGATGAGTAATTTATCAAAACCTCTTGGTTTATTAAAAAAAAAAAAAAAGAAACAAACTTGCCATTTTGTTCACCAACAAGTTTATATCAGAGTTCTGTAATACTGAATTTCGTTGAATATTTGGTTTTCGTTATTTTTCAGCTGTTATAAATTTAGCCAAGCTGCTACTTAAATTTAAATTGTTTGTTGAAGTTGATTTAATTCAGTTGACATTGTGCTGGTATAATATACATAGGATAAGAGATCGAATATATTCAAGCATTCAATATCCCATTTTATGGGGGAGGAGAATTTGGATAATATACACATTTTATGAAATTGTTCCCAAAAAAAATCTCAATTACAGAAAATAACACATATCGAGAACAATGAACGAGACTACTACTTTTCAGGTTAAAAATAACAGACTTAACATATCCGCTAGGAAAGTCTTCAGACCGTCAGAAACTTTAAACTATTAAACTCTACAACATGATGCAAGAAAGAGAGGAAAGAAAAGAAAAATAATCCCCAACTCTGGTTTTCATTGCGGTCTGTCCAGAGAGAATAACAGGTGAACATGCAGTTCTCTTTGTAATGCTGACAGCAAATAAGAGGGGATAAGTTCTCAGCTGCCAAACTACAGCAGCAGACATACTTTCTTTGACCACCTTCACTCAATCCTGCTAAACAATCTAGTAGTGGGGTCTGATGCTAGCCGGCTTTGAAAGCATACATATAGCTTCTGAGTTTTCTTACTTCTTCTGATGACTCGGAAAGGACATGGTCAACATAGAGACATAACCCAGCTCCACTGCAAATTCATTGTACAGGTAAGAATTTGATAAGCATTATGAGAGGAGGAAGAAAGATCGGTATAATTGACATACCATAAGGGCCCAAGGGGAAGCCAGATAACATCCCAACGAAATTTTGGCATTCTAACATGCAAATTAGCATTCCAGAAGTTAGAGCGAGACGGGTCATAAGATATTAGAACATCCAAATTGATGAATCAAAGAATAAACTAGAGCAAAACCAAGAAGATCCCCAAAACAAATCTTAACTACAAAAGAAAATAAATGGGAAAGAGTGATTCGGACCAACTTTCATGCATAACAAATGCAACTCAGGTAGTGGAATCCAAATGCTCGAATGCAACGCAATTTTATCTGATTAAAAACAACAGGAATCCAAACGTTTGAATGCACTGACCTAACATTACTTCATTTCAATCCTCCTTCAATCACATCAATTCCCCTCCTCATAACGTGGAACTGCTTCGACTACATGTATTTCAATGTGTAATAGAAACCAACACAATTGTGTCTGATTAAAAATGACCGGAATCCATCATTCGAATGTGCTCACCACACATTACTTCATTTCAGTGCTCCTTAAATCACATCAATCCCCCCAACCCTCTCATAACCTGAAACTGCCCTTACTACATCTATTTCAATGTCATAGGAACTAACACAGTTTTATCTGAAGAAAACTGGCTGGAAACCAACGTTTGACTGGTGTTGGCCATGCATTACTTTATTTCATCTCCAAGCCCCCCCCCCTCCCAACAAAAAAAATAACCATAAATTAAGCACCATATATTGTTCATACAAAGTTCCATGGCATAATCAACAAATCAATACAGAAAACAAGAATCGAACATTGGAATCAAAATTCTGAGACTCTGATGTACCTCAGCATATAGTATACCCAGAAAATTGCTAGCACAGTGGCAAGAGACCATGAGTACCATATCCACTTTCTGTGATCCTTTGAATAACTGAATAGACCTATAATAGCCATTGAGCAAGCCAATACAGCTAGCCATTCTGTTAAAATACAAACTTAATAAATTTACTATATATAACAGGAAGAAAACCATATCAGATATGTTGAATGAATATAATTAGGAGTGGAAAATATGGGCAATGACTAGCAATTTAAGAACAGAAGGAAAATATTGTCAAACAATATGGCTATATTCCACCATAAGAGTAACCAAAGTCAGGATTTTTTAAATCAACTATCTGCAATTTCTGTGAAAAAATTAACAAAATGTAACTGGAAAAGAAGCCAATAAATGAATACATACCAATGAAGGTAAGCAAGCAATCAAACCTGAAGTTATTATCATCCATGAATCAAAATCTTCCATGAAGTAAGCATGGTACCGCTGATAATACAAGTGCAACGGTTTATATTCGTCGATTGCGATAAGAAAAAAAAAAAGAAAATATATGGTATACAATTTTAAAGCAAAGTGCATCATGGACCTCGACACAATCCAATTACATTAGCAGTTTCATAATCATAATCATGAAAAGTTTTATAAGAGTAATATGATCCGAAATGGAAATAAGCTTTTAGGTCATATTAAGGAATTAGGTATTGAATAATTCATACCAGTTCCCATGGAAATAAGGTTTGGTGATAGATGGAGTAAAGAAGAAAGGCCGAGTAACAAAACAGAAGTGCTGCAAACACGATCTGCAGATTAAAAAATCAATAATTACAAAGTATACATAGAGAAATAAGGGGAATGAGATAAGTTTTTTTATAAATATGGAACAGTAAAGAGGAAGACCCTCCATTGAAGACTTTGTTGGGCATGCATCTTTTCAAGAGAACGAACCAACTCCTCTTGTTCTGTAAATTCAAAAAATAAAAAAGACCCAGAAAAAAAAAAAGAAACTTTTTTCTTGTAATCATTAATCAAATAGACAGATTTGATATCTGGGGAAAAGATGAAAAAGAGAGAAATATACCGTTGATATCCATGGGACGATCATCGTCGACGGTTGGGAGAGAGAACTTCTCGTCTTGAGAACTTCGAAATTGTCTCGCCAGTTTCCTCATTTTCAAACCAAATTGGTACCACCGTCTAAGGTCGATAGGCCAAAGATGTCGAGCTTGAATTTTTATTTCGAAGCTCCAAATTAGACAAGCCAATTATACGATGCGTTTCAGTACTCGATCTTCAACGCTTTGTTATAAGGCTCAAACACGACGCCTTAGTAGCCCAATGAATGATAAGGCTTTATTTGGACTATTATAAGGTCCAAAATCAACTTTCGGGTATCAACCGGGCCTAAATACTCAAACAATTCTATATAATGTACCGAAACCCTAACCACTCTTCTTCAAGAGATCAACAAGCCAGCAGCTCCGCAGCCAAAAACCACAATCATTCGTCATGGGTAAATCTTCAAACCTTCATTTCTTAGCTTCTATTCGTTCTCTTAGTTTATTTTTTCCGTTCCGTTTTGTTGTTCGATCATTTCGAATCCTGTTGATTATTTCAGGCAAGGTTCATGGATCTCTAGCTCGTGCCGGTAAGGTGAGAGGCCAAACTCCCAAGGTGGCAAAACAAGACAAGAAGAAGAAGCCCCGTGGCCGTGCTTACAAGAGGATGCAATACAACCGCCGCTTCGTTACAGCAGGTGATTATTTTTCTCTACTCTTGATTTTCTTTTTCTTATTTAGGTTATTCATAACCAACTTGGATAATCTCTGAGAGTAAACGGTCATGAAGAATAAGAATGTGAAGTAGTTTCTTTTATATTGGGCTTTTCTTTACAGTGGTTGGATTTGGCAAAAAGAGAGGACCTAACTCGTCTGAGAAGTAAGCTAGCTATGTAGGTGAAGAAGGCAAGAAGCTATTTTTAGCTTACTGGTCTCAAGGATTGGAATGAACTTTTATTTTTATCTATTATTCGAGAATGTTAAAACTGATATCATCTCACACATCTATATGTTTCAATGATCATGAAAGTTTTAAACCTTTCGTATTTGTGGTGTTGTCAGTTTTATTCATCTGGAAGGATTCAAGTATATTTATGACTTGTCTTTGAATTGATTGTTTTGTGGCTCTGCAATGATATCCGGTTATTCAATCCACATTATAATCAACAGTTAGATGATGCTAGAACAATGTTCATATATATATGAAGAGCTAAATGGAAAAACTACTGTTTGTTTCTACGAATGAAATAGTGAGGGCAATTTAATCGAAAATCGATTGACCAACACTTTAGTCTTATTATAGATTCAACAAATTCTTGTTGGAAGTAGAGACAAAAGAATAAAGCAAAGAGCCATGAGTAGTAGCATGCTTGTAATTGAGTCACCATCAACCTTCCTACTTCTGTGTGCTCCAACAAACTTTCAAAATGTTCATAAAATCATGCAAATTACTTATTTACAATGTTCACGCCTTCATTTACAAATAAAAGGTTCAAACAAGAGTCTGATGACAGCAACGTTAACTAGAGCAACAGCATCCAACATCTTTTTGGCACCCCCACCTGCTTCTTCAGCCGGTTGAAAAATAAGAACCACCGTTCCCTATTAAACAACGCTTTTAAATTTAGCTCAAAGAGCAGATGTATCAAATCATGCAATTGGGGTTCGACTAAGAATGCATAATTTACGATACCAACGCCTATAAAACAAATAATTTCTGATGCATGAATTAATCTTATTGCTAAGAAAAGGTTTCAAATGATGCTTACAACAACGTTCTATTGTAAAGCAGCATAGAGAAACAGAGAATCCATGGAAACAATCTTAATTGAACCAATTTATGTGACAAGGGAGGGAAAAAGAACCATTAATATATATTAAAGAAACTAACATTGTTGAGAGGCTACATCAATTAACATTGAGAAAAATCGCAAGGAACCTGCAAATCATTTCGATGTACTTGAAGCATCCTTGCAGCACCAAGAAGCATAGCAACATGAGAATCATGTCCACAAGCATGCATCTTTCCAGGAACCTTACTCTTATGTTCCCACTCTACCAGTTCCTGTAACATCAAAACCCAACAATTCCCTTTCATATCAATTGCAAATAAAACAAGTTCTAAATAAGTAATCACTAATCTAATTTAATAGTTAATCTTTATTCATTCAATAAAAGAAAGGGTAATAGTAATTTTATCTCAATTACAATTTACAAGCTCATAAACACAGCTAAATATGCTAAATGATGAAAGTGATGTGATTGACTATAATCCACAATACTAAAGCAGACTACCTCCAAGGCAAGAGCATCCATATCTCCTCTAAGTGCGACAAAAGGAGGCTTTCCAGTGCCAATATAGCCAACAACGCCAGTAACAGGAACTGGGTATTTGTAAGGAATCCCCATCAGATCAAGCTCGGCTCTTATAAGCTTACTAGTCTCAAACTCTTCATAACCGAGTTCAGGCTGTTCAAGTATTTTTCTTCTAATACCAACCATCCAATCCATAATCTCTGGTTTCTTGGCAAATTCAAGGTAGTAGGGTCGGATTCGAGCCAATACTTCTTTGTTTAGTGAAGGGTTTGGAAAAATGGGAGTTGACATAAACGAATAGAGAGTGAAAATCAGTAAAATCAATTTGAGAAAAGCCATTGAAACGAATCGAATGTAGATTGAGATTTCGGGTTGAAGACGATGAAATTAATGAAACCAAATGCCCTTCGTATGGGGATTGGGGAACACCGGTATAGACGGTGGAGCAGTAAAAGGAGTTGCTAATAGCAGAGCAGAAACAATGCTGTTAATGTTCGGCTTTGGATGATTAGGGATTGAGTCAACGTACGGTAAAAACAATCTACTAACGTCGACATAGCCGTCAGAAATTACTGTTCTACTACTTTGTTCCTACTTATCTCCCAACTTTTGTCACTATTTTATATAAACAAATTTAAAATTTTATTTAATGGGTAATTGTTATTTAATATTTAGTTAAATGTATTATATTTTATAAAATATTTAAAAAATGAAATGTCCAAATAAGATTTTAATCTTTTGGGTTGAAGTCAAACAATTTGAAGGTGGTCTTTTCAGCCAAAAAAGTACATAACAGAAGCATTACACAAGGCCAGAATGATAGATGGTCGGAATCTTCATACATCGATTGTTTTATCCCCCATGAATGCAAGCAGTGTCCCGATCCCGAAGGTCACTGGTTTGTAGTCAAAAGAATATTAAAATTTGGTCACCAACCTATCATCAACTGTTGTATCCAGCTCTATTAAAAAAAATTATACTACTTGGGTTTGTTAATGAGTTTGTTAATGCGCCGTTCACAAGCTGAGGATGTTAGGTCCGTTAAAATTAAATTCAGTTACAAGCCCGATGGTCATCTAGTTTATGTAATGCATTGGGCCTGAGGCTCGTCAAATATTTTTGATCCGTTAATGAATTACACATTAGTTCTTAATCTAAACCCTAATCACTTTTCACCGCTTTCTTTCTTTCTCTAGCTTTGCCTTTGACTTGTTCATACTATCTGTTCATGCCTTGATCATACATGGGACACGATATATATGTAAACTTTATGACTTATGGAGCATTTACGCGGTCTTTGAGTATGTGAATTTTAGTTAAATTTTTTTAATTCAATTAAGATAAATTGATAGAGTATATAAATTTTGACAATAAGTGTATAATTATATTAATTTCTTTAACATCCACATTACCTTTTCCATTAAATGTTAACAGATGGTGGCTTGGTTGGCAACACTTAAATAGTTAAGTGCGATGTTATCGATAAAATTAAAAGATCGATAGTTAAAAATGAAAATGACATAACTAAGTGGTCACAGGAATAATTTACGCTAATACTTATATGTTAAAATTTAAATTTGGAATTTAAATCAAATTAAAATTAAATGTAAAAATAAATTTATTATTATATTAACTTTATTAGTCATAATATTATTTATTATTAATTTTTATATAATTAATTTATTACTTTGAAATCAAATAATTATTTTATAATTGTTTATAATCAACAGATTAAAAAACATATAATACTTAAATAATTGTTCACAAATTTAATTCTAAATTTTATAATACAATAATTAATCGGGGTTTTTTTATATATGAATAGTGACTCGGGTTTTTTTTATTTATAACTGGTGCTGGTATTCTTTTTTTTATATAATTTATTGCAGTTATTATTGGGAAAATGTTAAAAAATATATCACTAGATTCGATAAGATTCATCTCAGTAAAGGAACATGTTAAAGTATATCAATCAATTAGTCACATTATTTAAATAAAATGGCGAGCTATTATTATTAATGACTGTCTAAAGATTATCTTTCATTAGATATGCTGGGTTCTTTTCCCGAAAGAAGATAAAGGACAATTATAGAAACGCAACGCAATCATGTTATGAAACTTGGTTGAAATCTAAATACTTAACTTAGAAGCTATTTTCAACATCATTGTTCCTCCTGGGTCAATTGAAGGCCAAAAACACTTATTGTCAGGAAGAATTAGTAATCATTTTTTCAAACATGGAATAAATTCTGACACCTCCCATTGTCCTTTAATTTACTAACTATGGATTGGAGAGTTCGTTTGAGAGTAATGAAACTATACTTTAGTTAAAATGTCATTAAATCAACAATCTTTGTGATAAATATTTAAATATTTTCGGTTGATATATTTTATCTTTTCTAAATTATGAGTGCAATATTTATTATAAATAATTTTTTTATTTTTTACCATTTAAGTAAAAGTTGTTCAAAATTAAATCATATATTTTATAACTTATTCATAAAACAGCAGTCAGTTTGGAACAGTACAATCACATGGAAAAATTGAGAAGCTAACCTAAGATGTCTCCAAATGAAGCTATATGATTTGGAAAGTGGAACCATGATTACAATATGCTAGTTTGATAGATTCCGACTTTATTTAATCTTATTGAAATAAAGTTCTTTTATTAAAAAAAATAAGTTCAAATCAAATTATATTTTTTATCGGATAAATCAGGTAGAGTCGAGTTCAAGTTTATATAATTTTAAAAAATAATATAATTATGTCTTATATATTTTAAAACAATTGTAATAATACTCTTTTCTATACTATTATTTTAATTAAATACTTATTTTATCAAATAAAATTTTATAAACATATTTATTTCAAATCAGATTAAATAAAGTCTGATTCAAATTAAATCAAAAAAATGAGTTAAATTGTAAATCAGATCAAATTAATAGAAAATCCGGTCCAAATTTATATCCACAACACCTAATCGAAAGGCATGGTACACTCATCTTTGTGAAAGGTGTTGGAAGGGTTAATAATTAAAACTCCCTCTTTTCATACATGTTCCTTTCTACACTTCAACACCCCACCACCGCCATGTCCCCCCACCTTCGCTATTCGGGGGGGGGGGGGGAACCTTAAGCTTCTCTTTGAACTTTATGAGAGATTTGGTCCAAGAAATCTTATGTTTCAGCCTACCTAAAACATCATCACTCTTGGAAGTATTGATGAGGAAAAGAGAAAACACTGTGAAACATCATCTTCAATGCAAAAAGTCTGCTTGATTGCATCATTCCCCAATACAATGGAGTTGATTCTAAAACCGTCCAACATTGCAAATCCACCACAACAGCATACATAGCTATCATATTCTTCATTCATCATTATTATAATATGAATATTACGGCTAAAACAAATCTTACGCAATACTTGGATAATCATCATTAATTAAATTTTCATAACCACAAATTCAACCATTAAAATAGAGAAAGGGATTATCCATTGTTTGCTTCCACCTTACCCAACCTTAAAATTTTTAACTGCTGACTACTGATCTTCTGAATTTCATAGAAGATTATCGGGAGAGAGAAGAAAAAAACACAAACCACTCTACTTCGCTTGTAGGAAATAACACCTGGTTTTGTTACAAGATCTTCAATTTCGTTGCAGCAAAATATATCTTCTTCTTCAGAGGCTATTCACAGTGAGAAGAGGAGTCAAAAAAGATTCAAATAAATCAGATAATAACGTAATGTAAAGCTCCACTTCGATCGAGCTAGCTCACGCTTCCAGTTATTTTTTTTAATTCACCAGGTCCGAAACCCAATCCACGTTCGGACCTGCAGAAGACTGACTCGGGTTAACGCTTTCCAGCTGGTTCTCTTTACTCAGTTTCTCAAACATCTTTGCACGTAAATCCCTTCCGGATTCAACTCTTTCCATATGTGGCTCTTCTTCGCACACTTTATCCCACAAATCTAAGTACCTAACCCCATGACGGGTCAACTTTTGGGTCGGAGTATTAGGAAGGCTAAAGAAGTTGGGTCGGATCGCTGCTCCTCTCGGAGACCCAAACGCTGGAGAGCAACAGCCTACTTGTACGTTCGATGATGAAGGCAATGACTTGGCCTTCCCAAGTTGCAAGTTCCTCATAGAAGCCACCGTCTCATTAATAGAAGCTGAACCCAGAGACCGACTCAGTGACTGAGACATAGGCGGAAAAGGGGGCGAAGGCTCGGCTCGGGGACTCATCGGAGGAGAACTGGAACCAGGGGAAGACCAAAAACTAGTCGTTTTAGCACTAGAAGGTGAACCATCATACGAATCCACGGAGCTGACGACCCTTAGCTGGTCCGGAGTATGAGCAAAGAAACAAACCCTACGCCTGCAACCCGTCCCGTCTTTGCATGGCTGAGTTCGGTAACGAGCCGGGTGGAGCCAGCACTCGAAAACCCCATGAGCGAACTCGCAAGCATCTCCTTTGCGACAGTTCCCTTTCTTGAAGCCAGGACAAACCGTACCCGAGTAATGGTACCTCCTCGGGTCCCTCCGACGAGCTTTCTCGCCCGGATGAGCGTACGGACATTCAGTCCAGTCATGTGCACGGCCACGTGAACACCTCAGTACTTTGAACTCAAACATCCGGAAATGATCACAAGAGCAAGCGTCAACCGGAGAATCCGGGCTACTCCGCAGTCCCAAAAGCTCAGAATCCGACTCGGCATCCGGTTCTTTTGGTGGCACGTAACATTCTAATGCTCGCAGTGCTTCCTGCGAGTAAAACGGATCATTGTTATCGTTGAAGTGGTTGCAGGATGCATTGTACTTGAGAGGAGAGTGTACATCAGCCGTTTGATAATCATCAAGGTCAGGCCAAGGTGGAAGGCGAACCGTAGGATTGGGAAGACAAGTTTCTCCGAGCATGATTCTATTTTTGTTGGTGTTTAGGGTTTGAGATATTTGTAGAAGCTGTTTGTTGGTTGTTTTATAATTAGCAGAAGCTGGCAGTGTTAAGTTACTGGATATTTTAACTGTGGTTTAGTTTGCTGTTGTCAGTTTGGCCAAAAAATGTAGGAACCAACATTTTTCCTCTTTTATCACTCCGCTTTCAACTGCGTAAAAAATCATTCAAGTGGCGGTAGTATTGGAGTCACGGGTTTGTCATTTAAGCTTATTCGAAACTTCTTTCGGCGTTGCCACGTTTGGCTATTTCACTGCAACGTGGCCTTAGCTGTGTGAAAACTTGAAAAGTGTGAGCTTACACGACTGTGTGGTTATCTAAGCACTGAAATTAATAATCAAGACAACCCCACAATTCCAAAGGCGATGGAGATTTTATTTTTACTGCTACTATTAATGATATAAAGTAATATCTTATTTACTTACATAACTATTCGAAAAATAAAAATAAATATGGGATGGATAATGCATTAATAAGATATTATAATTTTATATATTATTAACAAATTAAATAATATATAAAATGAAATTGAACTATAAAAGCATAAAATATTTAATGCAAAAACAGATAAAATCATTCATAATTTTCGTACCAAAAAACTAATTTAAAAAAATAAAACAACACAATTTAGATATACAAAATAAAACTACAAAAAAATGTATAAAAAGTCTGAAGAAAAATAAGAGAAAATAACGATAAAATAAATGATTTGCTCATACTAATATTTATTTTATAAATTTTTATGCAATATTTTTATAACTTTGAAATAAAAAGTTATTATACATTCTTTTTATAAACCTAGGGAGTTATTGCACATTAGATATATTTAAATTTATAATTTTTTATATTGTAACATAAATTGAGGTTAGACCTAAATCTAATGGCGTATCTAGGCTTACGCTTACCTATGGTCCATTTTATGGTAAAAAATAAATTATTTATTTAATCATCTACTTATAATCTAATTTATATTTTAATATTATTTATTTTAGACCACATTTAATATTATGTTTTGATTTTATTTTGGTCAATTATCTTCAAAAAATTAGCAATGATGTTGATATGTCATCGTAAGATAATATCACGTCACGATTGAAAAAGATATCATATTAACATCTTTATTAATTTTTAACTATATGTGATCAAAACACAATCAAAACATAAGATTTTATATGATTTTGAAAAAATAATAATTAAGTTATCAAATCATAGATTAAGTAATAGGTGTATAACCAAATAGTTAGTTTACTCTAAATAAAAAATAGGTATAAATTATGTTAATAAAATTATATTTATCAAATTAATATTTTTTTAGATTTAATTCAAATATATATATATAATTGAAACTTTTATTTTATTTATATTAATGCAACCTATAAAAATTTTCTAGATTCCTCAATGTTTAAATCTCATATTTTTATACAAAATTCTTAATTCTTCTGGAATGTGCCCCCAGTTTCGACGTCGGGATAATCTGAAAGCCAGGGTTGTTGTCCCCCTATTTCTAGCGCATTCTACTATAATTGATTCATCAGTCAAGTTTGGAAGCCAAAATAGTCGGATATGAATTAAATTGATTGTGTCGTCAGTCGCCAATTTAACAGTGAAGTTGAATACGGATGTACAGGTGGCTTCGATATTAAAGATGCAAATTTAGACCTTGTCGTACCGGAATAACCCCTCCACAATTTTATTTTACTTGTACGATGAAAGATCTCAACGTGTCTGTCTACTTTTGTTTATTTTATATTTTCTTGAATATGATTTGTAGACTTGTAAATGTATAACCGCACACGTGGCATACATTTTCCTTTATTTTATTTTGCACCAAATATGATAACTATCCCGTTTGATTATATAATATTTAAGAGTGAAATTATCCAATTTAATTTCAAAATATTATCTGACGTTAATAGTACTAGATTATTACTAACAATTATTTTATTTAACGAATTAAAATGTTAAATTTTTTAAGTAAGATTAAGAATTTAAATCATAACCATGTAAATGAAATAAATTAATTTAAAATGATCAATTTATAATAAATTTCTATAATATTTAATTTGGATTAATGATAAATAAATCAAATACTGATAAGTATAAAAGAAATAGTATAAAATTATTTATAATAAACAACATTGTCTAGAAATACAATAATAATATCAAACTTCTCAAATGTTTTGTGGATAATTTGTCCTTTACCAATTTAAATTTTTTAAATATAGTATAACATATAAAAGTTTATTTATTATTATAATATCTATTTGCCTATTTTAAATAATTTATTTAAGGTGATAACTGTTTCGTACTTATTCATATATAGAATTAGTATTTAGTAATGGAAAATATTGATATGTATTTATTTTATTAACAATATGTGTAAATATTGATTATATATTCAATTTAAATTTTGAGAAAAATCTAATGTAAAGAGTTATCTAATTTTTATATTAACATATTTTAATTTAATATATTAAAATTTATATGTGGAAAAGAAAATAAAGTAAAATTAAAAAAAATATTATGTACAAGAGATGATATTTAAAGTAATTTTGTTTACATTAACAGATGAAGAATACAAATTTATTAAAAATGTAGAGATCACAAAGATTATAAATACAAATTTATTATATATATATATCTCTGATATATCCCAAAACACTTTTTAATCTCTACAACATAAACCGTAATTGACAATAATTGCATAGATCACAAAAAGATTATATATCTCTGACATAATTCTCTCACACAATTTTAAAGGTTAGCCAACTATAAGAGAAGCAGGAAGAAAATATCAAACAATTTGCCAACTATAAGAAAATCATCGTACCCGATCTAGAAAACTCGACCCTTTTCTTCGCCCTCATGATGCTTTCTCCATCAGCTGAACTGGAGTCAGTATGTTGGCCTTGCTTGTCTCAACAATACAACCATTCATAACCATTTCCTCCATCATGAAATGAGCTTTCTCTAGATGGAACATGATATCAAGTTCACACTGCAAAACAGAATATGCAAACAAGAGAGGAAGAATAACAATGCGTCTTGATTCCTCATGATATGAAGGTTGAAGAGAAAGAAATACAAAAATGTAGTAACTTGGAAAAGGGGTAGAAATTAATCCGTCTTCTTGGTGAAGAACTTACCACGTTACCAAAATGACGGTCCATGGTTTCAACCATGAGATGTATAAATTCCAGAATTGCAAGCTCATTCTACCACATCGAAGACAAGGGAATATAAATACGAGTAGGGAGCAATATGCAAACATGAAATATAAGCTTGAATTTAAGCCTTGGTTCATATTAGGGGAAAAACGTAACTTTGGGTTTGAATCTTGGTTTGAATCGGAAACCATGTAGTCCGTACTTTTCATTATTCAAGCATCCACATATGCACGGTTGAACATTGGATATGAAACATATTGCTCAAGTTATATGAAAAAGCTTAGCGATATCAAATATTATTCAGCGAAATATAATCCTCCAAATATATGAAAAAAGTTCAGCGATAAAATATTATTCAAGCATATACACGTGGAGGGAACTTACTTCGTCGTTGTCAACTCCAACTAAGAAAAACAGCGAAGCGTATCGTCTATATACAATTTTGTAATTCCGATGCTCAATAAATGAACACTGTCGACACAATTTAACCAAAGAAACAAATAAATTAGGTATATGAAAAAAATCGCAGTTCTTTAAATATTTTACATTCATTTCATAAAACAAAAGGATAATTAAAAATGAATTAGGATAAGGCATAATTCTCAAGCAGTAAGCATTCTGAACTTGAAATTATGGAATTCTAGATTACAAAGTTCAAATCTCGAGCAGATAAAATTTATTCTGATTCAACCTAGAAAGTACGGAAGTTCGGAGGGAAAAGAAACTAGAAAGTAAAATTACGGTCAATTTAATCAGATAACTCAATTTAAAGCTTATTAGATTAAAAGCAATGCGTTCCTTTTATATTGTGAACTTGCAATTAATGGAATGAATGAACGGGAGGAAGGAGGGGGGAGAAAAAGAACCTGTTGCTCTTAGCGGGCTAAGCACTTGCGGACGATCTCGGCTTCGAGAGCACGGCGTTCTTCCAGGGTGAGCCATTCGTAGTATTGAGCGAGACGGGTCTGCCCTTGCTTGTTCACCATCAATATGAATCGGATCCCCATCCCTTTCTTTACTTTTTCCAACGTGGTTCTGTATCAGTAATCGCAAATCACCCTTGTCCGCTAAAATTGTTGTTTGTTGGGCTTATAACCGACTGATTGCGTCAATTTGTATTAAGTTAATTTGGGTTTTAAAATTTATTTATTAATTTTGAGTTTTAATTAATTTATATTTGATTTTCCGGATAATTAGTTGATTTTCATGGATATGATTGTATTAAGATTATTTAAGGTTTTTAGCAGGGGGTTCCCGAAACCAAAGGATCAGCTGAACCAATGAGATTGGTGAAAAATCTTACTAACTCAGAAGCCATTTCATCAAAAGAATCATATCTCTGGCCATCATCACCCATAACAGTTCTAATAGTGTTTCGCTTCTTATTAGCTTGAGTTCTCTGATGAAAGAAACTGGTGTTCAAATCACCCTCCCTTAACCAATGAGCTTTTGCCTTTTGTTTATAAAAATCAGATTCAACTATCTCCAAATCCACCAATTCAGCCTGAAAAAGATCAAGGAAGTTAGCGATTTGGAGATTAAGGAGGCTTTATTCATACAGGGGAAGGATAAAAGCCCAGGTCCTGATGGGTTTACGTATGGTTTCTTCAAAGCCGCTTGGAACATTGTGGACAAGGACTTTATTTCTGCTGTGAGATACTTTTTTCAAACCTCTAGTATGCTGCCTGCGTTTAATACTACAGCTTTAGTGTTGATTCCTAAGTCTCCTAATGCTGCTTTGGCAAAAGATTTTAGGCCCATATCTTGATGTTCTGTGGTCTATAAAACAATAACTAGAATCCTTGTCAATAGACTTGCCCCTTACTTCCCTGGAATGATTTCCCAGAA